GTTATTGTAAGGATCCAGGAGAGGTGGGAGAGGCTGGAAGGAGAGGGATCCGTGTGTGCAGGGGGAAGGGGGGATTAATCACTGGGTTGTACAATTTGAAGAATAGGGGAGTGAGGGAAATTGAATTTGTTCAAATTTGTATTTAAGTTTTGTAAATATAGGGGGAAAAACCTATGGTAACTGCCATTTTTGTTTCAAGATACACTGATATACCTGTTAAACTCCTGAAATTGAATGAACGCAGGATTCCTTGTATATTTTAGATTTCCTTAATTCTTGAGTACTTTGGATCTATTTTGATGAGATTTTACTCTAGATGTTTCCCTTTAATACTATTTAAAAAGTATTTGCTTGCTCATTTTGTCCCAAGTTATTGTTGGTGCCATTGTCTCAGAGATCTAATGAACAAGGGATCTGGCCTGACCTATCTTGGGCAATCCTCCTCATCTCTGATCTCCAAGAGCCCGTTGTTATAGTCAGTGTTTTCAATCTGGTTAGGGGTCTTCCTCTTTTGCTGACCCTCTGCCTTTCAAAGAATGATATCCCTTTCCACTCCTAGAATCTCCTAGCACTGGCAACTCCTAACAACTTGCTCAAAGAATATGAGATGAAGTTTCACCATTCTTGTTTCCAAGGAGCACTCTGGGTGCACTTTTTTTTTCCAATTTTGGCAGTTGATGGTATTATTCAGTATTCTCCAGCACCACAGGTCAAAGGCATTGATTCTTCTTCTATCATCTTTAGTTACTGTTCAATTTGTAGAGGCATAGCAAGTTATTGAAGACCACAAACTTGAACTGATAGGCAAGATAAAATTTCTAAAGAAAGACCATGACTTTCTTTAGAATCTAGAGAATTCTGGTGGCTTAGAGGTAAGGTGTTGTGCTACCTACCCAAAGAACATAGTTCAAATCTGCCAACCTTTTGGAGGAAGATAGGCAATTCATTTCAAGTGATTTGCCATCTCTTAAAACCTTCTGGACAGTTAGCTATGAGTCACTTCTGACTCTACGTAACAGTAACAATGGCTTGGATTGGGTGAACTTTAGTTTTGAAACTGACATCATTGCTCTTTAACACTTTGGAAAGATCCTTGACAGCAGACTTTCCCAATGCAACCCAATTTTTTATTTTTTTGACTGCTGATACCACAGGTGTTGATTGTGGATCCAAGTAAGAGGAAATTGTTGACAATTTCAATCTTTTCTCCATTTATCATGCTGTCTCTTATTGTTGTTATATGCCGTCAAGTTGTACACAATTCATAGTGACCCTACGAACAGATCTGAAGCCTGTCCTATCCTATGCCATCTTCACAATCTCTCCAATCTCTCATGCCCATTGTTGGCTGCACTGTGTCAATCCACCTAGTTGAGGGTTCCTCTCCTTCACCAACTCTCCACCTTCTCAAGCACAATGTCCTTCTCCAAGGGATAACTTCTTCTAGCAGCATGCCCACAGTATGTGAGATAAGCTTCATCATCTTTTTCTTGAAGGAGCAATCTGGTTGCATCTTCCCCAAAACATAATTTGTTTTGGAGGTTTTCTTGGAAGTTCATGGGATATTCAGCACTTGTCTCCAATACCACAGTCCAAAGGTATAAATTCTTCTTCTGTCATCTTTAGTCACTGTCCAGCTCACAGATGCATAGCAAGTGACTGAAAAGACCATGGCCTGAGTCAGATGTACCTCAGTCCTCATATAATAAGATGCCTCTTATTAGTACTCTGATTTATGACATTTGATGCAGCAAAGCATTTAACTACTGTGCTATCAGGACTCCTGAGAGTCATTAGGAAATGTGGGGCATACTGGGTGGCCATGAAATTGTTTAAACAGTGGCACTTCTGAGTGTGGATGGGGCACTGTTAATGAGTTACATCAGTGCAGTCAGTGTAAACTGGGACTGTCCTTGACAAATCAGTGACCGTAATTCTGTCACTAGGTTTTCCAGAGATCCTCCCAGTCATAAAACAATGATCCTGAGTGAGCGCTCCGGCAACAGGCCATCTTGGAGGGCAGAGGCCTGGCCCACTGGACAGCTGAGGGGAGCGGCCCCTGGGGGCCCTGCATGGGTGCCCCCTGCTGAGCCTCACGTGCCCCGGGACTGCCTGCTGCTTCCAGAGAAGGTGCTATGTGGAAACAAACACCACAAATATCTTCCAAGACTAAGCCACCAGGAGAAAGGACCCGATCTGCCCTGGTCCCTGCAATGCCCTTCAACATGAAGCCACCAGAGGAAGAAACCAAACCACCTCAGGACAACCTGGTTTGGACCTGCAGGCCAACTGAAGGGCTGAAACTAAAAGTCAAGTGCCACAGAGCAAGACGATGACCTGGTGTCAGAAGACGCCAAGGCCCATCTGCATCCCGTGTGGAAACCACTGACAAATGTGTAATGGAAAAGAATTCTTTTTTGTTTAATATTTATCACCTTTCAGAAAACTTTATCCCCACAATTATGTCTTTTGAACAATTTTGTTTAATTAAGATTAGTAAGAATCACTATTACCTTTGCCATTTGCTTTATGCTTGTGACATTACAATATTGTCTCTTATTTAAGTATTTTGCCCAATGAATTTCACTTCCTTAGCTTATAAATTTAGTGTCCTCTCTTAAAAAAAAAACAATGATCCTATGATTAGTAAACTAGATTTTCAAATTTTACTTCCAAAGGTTAAATTTGACAAATGATTGACTTAAAAATAACTGGTTATCTAGTGGCAAGAAGCTGCACTGCAATCCCAGAAATGCATGGTTCGAATCCACCATATGCTCTGCCGGGAAAGGAGAGACAATCTCCTCCTGTACCAGTCAGATCTGATCTGACGGTACACAGACACACACAGAGACACACACACAGACACACACACAAAATAATAAAAAAAAGGGGGGGGAAATTAAAAAAAAAATAACTGGTTAGATTAAAAAATTAAAAATAACTGAATAAAGAAGGAAAACAACTGTTTTAAACACATAGACCAAGCTTTTGAGAACATTATCACATGATCATATTTTTATTACTATGTAGGTTTTAATCTTTAATGTATTATTGGTTTTCCTCTTTCCCAACACTCCATGCACTATCCTGAATGCTTTAGTTCTTTTGTGTTACTGAAAAATTTGTTTTTCATATTTTGTGTTTTTAAAAAGCAACAAGTGTCTCTCATGTTCTTCCTTAACCCAAACTGAATGGGTATCTGGGGGATAGGGTATGAAAATGAAGAGGTTGAGAATGAAATAAGGGACAATGTTAATGAGCAATGATATCAGTTTAAAGACTAAGGTGCACCTGATCCAAGCCATGATCTTTTAAATTATTTGCTATGCATCTAAAAGTGGGACAGTGAATGGCAGAGGAATTGAAACCTTTGAGTCATGCTATTGCAGAAGAGTACTGAATATTCCGTGGACTACAACAAGAACAAACACGTCTTTGAGAAAGTGTAGCCAAGTTGCTCCTTAAAGACAAGAATGGTGAAAAAATACACCTCACATATTTTAGGCATGTTGTTATAAGTGTTCAGTCCTTTGAAAAATATAGCACGAAAGGTGGAGGGTCAGTAAAAAAAAAAGACCCTCAACAACGCAATGCACTGTGTCAATGGGACAATTAAAACAGACTTTCAAGGGGGGGGAAAAAGAGGAACGAATTGGGGGGAGGGTAGAGAAAACAGTACAACAATGAATGAATGGAAACCCAAAATCTCTGTAAATGTTCATTAAAATTAATGAAATTTAATTAAAAAAAAAAAAACAACCCCAAAAATACCCTCAGCTCACTTTTGCAGAGTTGGATCCCACTGGACTTCCAAGGCTACAAATCGTAACGGTAAGAGACTACCTATCATTCTTCCTTGGGGGCATTGGTGGATTCAAACTGCTGGAGACAGACAGCCCTTTCGTGGTTGTTAATGCGGCATCGAGACAGAACCGACTCCTTGCTAACCCTCCAGCAGGTTTCCTGAAGCTGCAAACCACAGAGGAAGAGACTGCCCAGCTTTCTCCCACAGAGCGGGTGGTGGACTGAAACTGCTTGCTTTGGGGTTGGCAGCATTGATTCCTTACCACTAGGCCACCAGAGCTCCCTAGCCCTTTAATCAGCAACTCAGTATTTGTTAACAATTAAACAATTAAACCAGAAAGAAATATATATATATATATATATATATATAAAAGATATTCTTTAAATATCTTGACTTGTCAATTTATATAAGCAAAAAGTATAACAAAAGAAACATTTTTAGTTTAACAAGAAACTGTAAAAGAACTAAGAAAGGACAGCTGTATCTTTTAATTCAAAACTATTGTGCTGCCACCCTACAGGCAGGAAGTTCAAATCCATTAGCTGCTCTGTTGGGGAAGATGGGCAGTCTCCTCCCATGCAATCTGCAGCCCCTGAAACCCAGAGAAGTGTCAGTATGGAGTTGGTTCTGACTCGATGGCAATGAGAGAAAGAGAATATACTATCTCAGGACTAAGCAGGAAGATGGCAAAACTTGAACTTAAGGCCCATGGTAACACCAACGATGTTTTAAAATGTGAACAGGATATATCAAAGCAAAACACAGCAAATGGAATTTTAAGACCAGGTTCATTTAAAAATATGGAAAAGAATTATTCTCACAAAGCTTGGAAAGTAAATGGGTTTTATTTAATTAAGAGGCTGGGTGGATCCTGAGACATATATTCATCAAATGAGGTCTACAGTGAAGACAGCCTAGGAGCAGGTGGACAGTAAGTATACACAAGACTGAACCATAAGAGTTACAATTATAAGTATTTAATATTGGCAGAAGAAAAATCCAAAACTTTTACAGTAGAATTCCTTCTTGCCTTTCTTCTTTGGCATTTTAACCATTAAAAATTCATTTAGGATATTAAAATTATTTAAAGATTCCAGTTCTAACTTGACACAGTTTTATATGTGGGGAAAGAAAGGAAAAAAAAAACAACAGCACTAGAAACCACTCAATATAATATACAAATACATATATATATAAACATTTTAATAATACTCTATCATTTATGTTTAAATCATTCCACTATGAAATTTTCTTAATTGAAGAGTGAATATTTCCTCAAAGCTCTATATTAAGAAGAGCTTTATCATTGCACTATAGCCATTAGAAATACATAATTCTTCATTTTACAATATTTCCCATAAAATTTGTCATGGTTTGTCACAGATTCAAAATACAAGGCACCTAATACTATGAAAACATAATACAGTATACACAGTATAAGTGAACCAGAAAATTTTTCAAATATTTATTTTTTAAAATCCCACCAAATTTCCATGAACAGACTTGTTGCATAAATTAAGCATTCCTTTTTGTGTTGATTTTTAATATTCTATAAAACTCAGAAATGTAATCAGTACCTATTTGTGGCAGCTTATTGTAGTAGTTGGCCTGAAAGAGACACTGATCTACATACTTAAGTGATTTCCTGACAATATTTGTATAATACAGTTCAGCATTTAACAAATATGTGAAAATTAAGTTTCTAGAACATTAAGATTTTATTCCTTGATTAGTTCAAATTATCAGCTGAATTCCTGGAGATTGGTAAGGCAGGTTTGTCCTTGGACTATGGATTGGAAATTTCCTATAATTATAGTGGTATATGATTACAGCTATACAGCAAAGTACTTCATTATGAAAATGAAGACAACAGATATGAGGAAAATATATTTTAGAGTTTCAAAGAACTGAAACCACTATTTTTCAGACTAGGCACTGAAACATTTTTCTACAAAAACTTGCCATAGATTGTCTCTTTCACTTAGAGCGTTCCATTATCAAGCTAAAAAACAAAAACAGAAACAAAGTCATCATTAGAATACTTTAAAGCATGAATAATATTAACATTAACACATATATCATACACAATATATATTTCCTAACTGGGTGTTTTAGGAGGTGAGTATTAAGAAATAGAATTCTCAGAGAAGGAAACCAAGAAAGCAGTATTATTTACCAACCACAAGTTGAGATACTTGGGAGTCAACCTAACTAGAGACACAAAAGACATGTACAAAGAAAACTACAGAGTATTTCTGCAAGACATAATAAAAGACCCCCCCAAAGTGGAAAAAATGTTCCATGTTCATGGATAGGAAGATTCAATACAGTGAAAATAACAAGCCTACCAAACATGTTTTAACGCAATCCCAAAACAGATATCAAATTAATTTTTCAAGGAAATTGTCAAGTATATTTGGAGAGACAAGAGACTCTGAAGAAGTAAAGCACACTTCTGAAAAACAAAAATTAAGTGGGAGGTATAGCACTCCCTGATCTCAAGACCTACTACATAGCAGTAATAACCAAAACAGCATGGTACTGGTACGACAGGCATATGGAACAGAATAGAGAACCCAGAAATGGACCTACCTATCTACCCATATCGACTGATATTCAACAAGGAAATAAACCATAAAAAATGGGGAAAGAACAATCTCTTCTACAAATGGTGCTAGCAAAACGGGACTGCTCCCTGCAGGAAGCTGAAACACGATTCATATCTTATATCACACACAAATATAAACTGCGGGGGAAAAAAACAAACCAAAACAACACAATCAAAAAACCCAAAACAAAAAAGCCCAAACAATTCAAGGTGGATCAGAGAGCTGAGAGTAAAGCCCAAAACCGTAAGGTCCACTCTAAGAGACAAACTTGGATCAAGCTCAGAAGGCACAGTCTATGGTATAAAGAGGTTGAGAAATACAGCCAGAATTGCACAATCTGGAGGCAATAAAATCGATGAATGGGACCTTCTAAAGATTAAATCCCTGTGCACATAAAAAACTTTTTCCAGGAGGGTGAAAAGAAAATCTACAGATTGGAAAAAAACACTGGCAATACCATTTCAGACAAGGGTCTCACAATAAAAATTTACAGAATATTCCTGAGTCTCGACAAGAAAATGACTGGTAAACCAATTACAAAAATGGGCAAAATACATAGAAAAACTTTTCACAGAGGAGGACATTCGGATAACCAACAAACACATGAAGAAATGTTCAGTATCACTGGCAGTAAGAGAGATGCAAATCAAAACCACAATGAGATACCATCTCACTCTAGTAGTAGTGGTAAAGTTGGAACTCTCATAAACTATTGGTGGGATTATAAAATGGCCCAACCACTCTGGAAAGCAGTTTGGCATTTCCACAAAAAGTTGAACAGAGAAATTCTGTGTGACCCAGCTATTCCTCTACTAGGAATACAACACAAGGAAATCAGAATTGAAACACAAATGGAGATATGTACAGCAACATTTATAGCGGTGTTATTTACCATCACAAGAATATGGGAACTGCCCAAATGTCCAACCACAACTGAATGGATTGAGAAATTAGGGTACACTCACACAATGGAATACTATGCACCATTCAAGAGCAACGATTTTGAAAAACACTACATAACCTGAGAGACTGGAGAACATTATGCTGAGTGAACTAACTCAGTTTTATAAGGACAAATACTGCATAAAACCATTCTAAAATTATAATGATAAGCAGTAAAAACATGTATGAGGACACAAGGAGCGAAGGTGAGGATGGGTAGGTGTGAAATCACAGGGTTGCACAATTTGGTGGTTGGAGAGAGGGTGTAAAGGAAAAGGGAAAGATCTATTGGAAAGACAGGGTAATGATGGGCAATGTCCAATGGGGATTGATTTTATAAAACACAATTCATGAGAATGATTGCATGAAATACAATGTAAATAAAGAATAGTGAGAACTTTGTAAGCAAACCAATATTAAGTAATTTTTTTAAAAAGTGTTAGAACGCAAAAGAAATAGAGTGCTAAGGCAATCTCAAGGGAGCTCTGGTAGCGTAGTCTGTAGGTAGATGTGCTACTAACCCAAAGGCTGTGCCTCTCTAGTGGTGGTTTGGATCTACCAGCAGCTCCAACAGAGAAACATGGACAATCTCCTCCCATGCAGTCTGTCTTTTCAGGAACCCACTGGAGGGATTGTGTTGGAATTGGTTCCAACCCAAACATGATGAGAAAGAAGGCAATCTCACCATCACTTGCCTGTCAGTTTGTTGGTTTGCTGTACCACATGGGTTTGAGTGTTGCTGACATGCTGGAAACTATGTCAGCAACAGAAATTATCTGACACAGGAATTTCATGAAATAACATATGAGCAAGGGCCTATGGTGATGAAGGAGGAAGTTCAAGTTGCTTTGAAGGAATTGGCTAAAAACAAGGCTCCTGGAGTTGAAAGCATACCAATTCATTTATTTCAACAAACAGACACTGTCCTGGATGTGCTAAGTTGTGCCAGTAAATCTGGAGGACAGCCAGCTGGCCAACTGATGGGAAAAGAATGGTATTTGTTTCCATTCCAAAGAAAGGTGACCCAACAGCGTGTGGAAATTATTGAACAATATCATTGATATCACATGCAAACAAGATTCTGCTGAAAATTATCCAAAAACATTTGGAACAATATGTCAACAGAGAACTGCCAGATGTGCAGGCTGGATTTAGAAGAGGTCATGGTACTAGGGATATTATAGCTAATGCTAGATGGATCTTGGCATAAAGCAGAGAATACCAAAAGAATGTCTATCTGTGCTTCAGTGACTATGCAAAGGCTTTTGACTGTGTGTATCACAACAAGCTATGGCTAACTTTGCCAAGAATGGGAATCCCAGAACATTTGACTGTGCTAATGAGAAACCTATACTTGGACCAAGAGGCAGTCATCAGAACAGAACATGGAGATACTGGATAGCTCAAAATCAAGAAGGGGGTCAGTCAGGGATGTATTTTGTCTCCATGCCTTTTCCATCTGTATGCAGAACAGATCATCCGGGACGCTGGGCTGTATAAAGAGGAATGTGGCATCAGGATTAATGGAAGAATCATCAACAACCTGAGTTATGCAGATGACACAACCCTGCTTGCTGAAACTGAGGAGGACCTGAAGCGCTTGCTGCAGAAGGTCAAGGACTGCAGTCTTCA